CCGAGCACTTGTCTCATGCACCCAACCTGGGCTGGTGAACTGTTTCACCCTAGATAATATACGTGTTTCGATGCTGTTCTCTTGAAACATCCCACCTCAGGGTCTTTTCTAATGCATTGGCTCTTCACATCAGGTGGCCAAAGTATTGGAGCTTCAGCTTCAGTATTAGTCCTTCCAATGAACAGTCAGGGTTGAATTCCTTTAGGATTGATTGGTTTGATCTCCTTATAATCCAGAGGACTCTCAAGAGTCATTTCCAACAACACAGTTCAAAAGCATCAATTCTTTGGTGCTCAGCTTTCTTTATAGTTCAACTCTCACATCCATACATGACTACTGGAAAAACCATAATTTTGACTAGATGGGACTTTGTGGGCAAAGTAATGTCTCTGCTTTTTAATACACTGTCTAGATTTGTCATAGCTTTCCTTCCAAGGAGCAAGCGTCTTTTAATTTCATAGCTGAAATCACCATCTGCAGTGATTTTGGAGATCAAAATAAATAAATAAATAAATAAAGTCTGTCACTGTTTCCATTGTTTCCCCATCTATTTGCCATGAAGTGATGAGACCAGAAGCCGTGATCTTCGTGTTTTGAATGTTGAGCTTTAAGCCAGCTTTTTCACTCGTCTTTTTCACCTTCATCAAGAGGCTCTCTAGTTCCTCTTCACTTTCTGCCATTAGAATGGTATCATCTGCATATCTGAGGTTGTTGAAATTTCTCCCGGAGGTCTTGATTCCAGCTTTTGCTTCATCCAGCCCAGTATTTTGCATGATGTACTCTGCATGTAAGTTAAATAAGCAGGGTAACAATATACAGCCTTGATGTACTCCTTTCCCAATTTGGAACCAATCTGTTGTTCCATGTTCAGTTCTAACTGTTGCTTCTTGACCTGCATACAGATTTCTCAGGAAGGAGGAAAGATGGCCTAGTATTCTCATCTCTTTAAGAATTTTCCACAGTCTGTTGTGATCCACACAGTCAAAGGCTTTAGCATAGTCAGTGAAAGAGAATTAGATGGGTCTCGGTGCTCATTAAATTAGGGTGACATCAAAGTTAGCTTAAATCGCAACTTGGATAGATTGATGCTTTGTGAGGAAGAGAATTCTGAAATCATGTCCAGGCTCTATAGGCTCAGTTGCCAATGTCAGTTAAGGGAGGTGATAATCATACTAGTTCAGCATAGCAGTAGTTAAGTAAAAACAGATTTTATTTGTTACAACAACATTAAGATGTGTAGTTACTAACACCACAGTGTGAGTTTATCTGATAACTTTCATAGCTCTTAGAGGAAGGGGAGAAAGAAGAGAAAGGATAGTTCTGAAGCTAGAGCTGGGATAATCATATGACATTGTGCATACCAGGGAATTTTTGAGAGCAAAAGGTGACTCTATCAACAAAATGCCAGGACAGTATATGTTAGCTGTGATTGTATGGTATGGTAATCTTAGCTCTGGGGAAAGACAGTCCCTGTCAAATAAACACATATATTAAGGAGTTAAATAAGAAGTGGTCCTTCAAATAAGACCACTAAATTCTTTTTCCTAATGGTATGGCCTTTTCACAGCTATGGCGACCAGTGACATATTTCCTTAACAACAAGAAACTAAAGCAACTGCACCTGGATAGGATTCCAAAACCTTAGAGATTCACTGTCAAGCATACAGCATACGGAATACATTTGGTCAATTTGCAATTTTTCAGAGGCTGATTATCTAAATAATGCATTATCTTTTGGACCCTTGTTTTATTTCTTCTACTGGTTTAATCAACAATATGTCAGTTTTGATACGAAGGTTTGATGGAGAAGAAGATGAAGCTATTACATAAAATAAGTTTGGGAATTACCAACAGATTTCAGTTACCCATGTTACTCTTACTGAAGGCTGATTCATTGTGAAGAGTAGAGATTTAGCTGGACAGTCTTGCTATTTCTAAGACAGAACTGTCCTTACTCTTTTTGTAATTATTGTACAGAACATATATTATATGTGCAATTGTGAACATACAGATCCTTACTTCCCCAATCCCATGACCTGTGATTAATGCAATGAAAAAATAATCATGATCACTTAAATCAACTTGCAGTAACATATAAAAATAAAATAAAGGAATTAAGTTTCAATATTCATGCCTTTTATTGTGGGGCCATGGTCTTGATACAAAGAAGAAGAAATAATGGTGAGTTACTTTTTGGAAGGCAAGAAAAACAATTAGAGTCCACATGGTATATAACCTATGGCATATAAGGCTACTAAATTGTCTTAAAATGCAATGTTTACATAAGCTTAAGAATGAAAGGAATGTACCATGAATATTAGAAAAACATTGCCATACACAAAAGTATTGGCTTCTCCTACATTAATTTGGCTTCTCCTTCCTAAATTTAGTTGGATAATCTCTTCACTTATTCAAATCTTAATCACACTTCAAAGTCTAAATTAACATCCACTTCTCTTTCTGAAAGTTGTCTATTACAAATCCAGTGTCTTTCTGTGTTCTCAGCTATAAATATCCATAATGCTCATTTGTCACCTGCTTTGTACTATCTTGATATGTCACTGCAGAGTTATATCATTTAACTTATTTACTGATTGACTTTTCACATCAGAAACCAGTACAATCTCCCAAACCAGATTGTAAATTCTTTTAGAGTGGGGGCCATTTGTGATCTATCCTTGTGTCTTTCCGTGTGTGTGTGTGCATGCATCTGTCTGTCATGCAGTCCTGTCCCACTCTTTGCGACCCCATGGACTGTAGCCCGCCAGGATCCTCTGTCCATGGAATTCTCCAGGAAAGAATACTGGCGTGGGTTGCCATTCCCTCCCAGGGGATCTTCTCAACCCAGGGACTGAATCCAGATCTCCTGCATTGCAGGCAGATTCTTTACCATTTGAGCCACCAAGGAAGCCCCTATCTTTCCTTAGGAGCTAACAAAATTTTAAATGTATTTAGGTTGGATTGTATGAAATTACCCATATTTGATCATTTTTGATAAGTGATCAATAAAAAAGTGAATTTTACATGGTTCAACCTAATAACAGTTGTTCTAGAAATAATTGTGGAATGAGTAGAATTATATTCAAAATTTTAAAATCATATACACATATGCAGCATATATGATAGATCATTTAGAATAGATCATTGAATTTGTTTTACTTTTTCTAGGAGCTATTCAGTTCCAAATGGCTTTATTATTAATTCATTAGCTTCTAGACATGATTTTTTAAAAAATGAGTATGACTATTTTATAAGGAAATAAGCATAATTGAAATAACAGATCATAAAGTACTCTCTTAGCATGGTAATGCTAATATTGAATTTTTCTGGCACTATTTACCAGTTGATAAAACCTTTCTTTAGACTAATATTAGTTACAGGTAATCTTTATTGTTGAATATATGTAGTATTTCAGGTGCTATTCTAAGCATTTCCTATTGATACACTCACTGAAGAACCTGCATCTCAACCCTGTGAAATGGGTAATAATATATTTTTTCAGATGAGCAAATGGAGGCATGAAGAGGTAATTTGCTCAAAATCACACAACTAGTAATCATAGAACTGGGTGTCAAATTCAGGCAGTCTGGCTTCAATCCTTCTTTTAAATGCCACTGGAATTCTAATCAATAAAAATAGAGTTATTCAAAAATTGGAATAAATTAAAAATTATTTAGCCTTATGAAAGATATAGCATCTGGTGATGACTTTATCATTTAGAGTTACAGAGTTGAAAAGACCATACTTAGGGCTTCAAACCTGCAGCTTTGGTTCTTTCATAAGCAACTCAAAACCAGTTTGCATTACAGGGCCTCAGTTTTCTGCATTAAAATCTGGAATTTATAGTTTTGAATCCTCTACAAGAATTTTATAAGAGGAGAGAAAATAGGACTATGTAACACATGATAGTAAGATAGGATTATGTAACATGTGTGTCTTAATTAATCAGGCACAGTTATTTTCATATTTAGTTATGAATATATGCATGCAAATATTTTTTAAGATTATGTTTAATGCTACTTTTTAAATAATCAATGTATGTTCTCTATTGAAGATATTTGTTTTCTTTGGTACTTAAAAACTATACAAAATCACACAAACAGAGAATACTGCTGTTTCACTCAGAACAGTAATCAATAGATTGAAATATACATGCATATATAATGTACATTGTTATCATAATTAAATATACATATAAAACATGATCAGTAAAATAATTTGTCTCAATGGATAACTATAAGCATTCTTTATAATTGAACTTTTTTTAACAATAAATGAAATAATCCAGTGTGATTTTTCTGTTTTCAAGAAAAGAAATACACTTTCCTCTGGAATACAGCATCAAATAATGACAAATGCATTAAATAAGTAAGTAAGCACTTGGCTTTAAATTTCTGGGCCTGAAATTGGGTTGGGTTGGCTTGAAAAATGGGACAATTAGATGATTAGATGATTTTATGTTGTTCAAATGTCAACTTTCTGCAAGTGTCTGAAAGCAAGATTTGTTTATCAGTTCTAAAATCTATACTCTAGTAAATGCAATTCTGTTCCTAATAAAATAACCAAGCGTACCCTTCCCTTTAAGAAAACAGCTAAAGGAAAACAGCCATGACTGTATTTTTCTGAGATATAGACTTAGGAGCTTACTATAGTAAGTTGAGTCATTCAAAACCTGTGAAGATTTTTCTGTAAGGAGATCCAAGAAGCCCTTATCCATGCTTAAGTTTAGGAAGAGCTACTAGAAAAGGCTGGAGGTGTGGTGTATGACTGGAGGCTTAGAATTTTTAAATCAGACCTTTCTGAAATGCTTCATTTTTCTGATCATTTCCATGAATTACATGTTTAATGTCATCAGGGGGTTATCCCCATGAGCAAACTGTCCATGATTTTGTTGTGTGGTTTTACTGCTGTTTCTGCTTTAGAAGAAGTGCTTGAAAACTCAAACCAGTGTTCAACCAGCTCAATCAGTTCAGAGAGAACAGTGTTAGAGGCAGCGTTACCTTCCTACACGCAGTGATGGAGCCGCCCAGGCTGCTTCCCAAGCTGGCGCTGGCACTGCCCTGCTGCGTTTCCGGAACCTCATACATCAGGGGTGACTCCAAGCTGCTGTTTGTTCCCCAAAACACAAAAGAGAACACATTCTGTGAGTCATCTGCATATTTAGAAAGAAAGCAGCACAATGTGCTTTATGCAAAATCATCTTTTCAGATTGCACTGGACACTGCAAACCTTCTGCTAACATTGATGTTTGTTTCCTTGCTGGTTTCACTTTTGTATTTGGTGGGACGACTATGACCTATTCCATTCTGAATATAAAATTGTGACCCATCGCCCTCCACGGTCTGTGGATGGACACATCTGTATGATTTCTAGCAGAGTTGATACATTTTCTTAAGCAAGCAGTTTTAAAACCCAAGTAATATTCTTTCCATTGTCACATTATTTCTACTCAGCCAAAATGAATACATAAAAAATACTCATACTATTTTTTCAAATGAGAGGAAAACAATTTTAATTGGGAAGCAGTGTGGTACCATGAAAAGAATATGAGCTTTAGAAAACACAGGTCATATCTTTATCACCCCTGTGACTGGAGACAGTATCTTAGCTTTCTTGTTTCCAGAATTCTAGGCTTATATCCTCTTCCCCTATTCCTGTCAAATCTTGGTGGGCTTGACTATATACAGGGATGTATAAATATTTTAAAAGATCTTAAATTGCTTATACAGGCTCAAGACATGATAAAAATCAAAATTATTTTTAGAAAATAGTTTTAGAATATTGAAGGGAACAGCTCCCCACTCCAGTATTCTGACCTGGAGAATTCCATGGACTGTATAGGCCATGGGATCGCAAACAGTCAGGCATGACTAAGTGCCTTACTGAGCTGAGCTGAGAAATATTAAGATTCAGAGGGCTTCTTGTATATTTAAATTAGGCTGAATAATTTTCTTCTGAAAATATGCAAATCTAGATTTTCAAAAAGTATACTGATATCTCAAGTCTACATATTTTATTTTTGTGGTTGTTGACCACATAGAATATGTGACATAGAACATAAAACATTCATTAAAACATATTTTTTGAAATATTGTCTAATGACTCTTTATGTAATTATCAACCCAACATATAGAATTTTTTTCTTCAGATTAAGAAGCACCAAACAGAAGATCCGTTAAATAAACACTGTGTTTCTAAAACCTATAAGCCTCATGCTTGAGGTTCTGAATTAGTCAATTTTCACTGCATTGTGATTAGCCGTAAGACAAATATTGCATGCATGTAGTCCATTTGTATTTCTGTTAATAACTACTATGAATAACATTCTTTTCTTTACATGACTGCAGATGGTGCTCTGTAACAGATCAGAAATTTGGGTAAAAATTTTATAGAATAATTCAAGTAAAATCTGTTTTGTTTTAAACTTTATGTATTGTTTTCTGAGTAACTGCCACCTTGAGGAATAGAATGAAACGACAGCATCCATATTATTTTTGATGAACTAGGGAAAGATTGGGAAAGGAAGGATGAAAGGAAGAAAGGAAGGGAGGGATGGAGGAAGAAAAGAAAAAGGAAGAAGGAGGGGGAGGGATCAGGAAACAGAGGGAGAAGGTAACTGACTCTAGATCCTGGTTCTAACGCCTTAGCCAAGACACTGCCTAGCTTTTCAAGGCCTGTCTCTTTTTTGTTTATAAATGAAATGCTTGGAGTGAAGTCTGTGGTCCCTGCTAGCTCTGGACCTCACTTTCAAAATACCATTGAGAGTCTGAGTTTTCAGCCCTGTTTTTACAGGCTTCTTGCAATGTAGGGCCTATACCCTACTTACTGTCAGTAAGTGATTCTCCCTCAAACTCAGCTCTAGGCCTTCTGAATGCTTTCTCGGCCACAGGAGAGTTTGACTTTTATACCAAACAGGTTATCATTGTGAGATTCTAAATCATTTACACATGGAAGACAGAATCACCGACCAAGGTAACTATGGTCTGTACCAACTTGGCCCATGACTCAAAAGAAATTGTGTTATTATTCTTACTAGGAGCTAGTCAGAGCTCTATGTGCAGGAGTTCAGGGAGACGGGCTGAAGAGTCTGCATAGCTGCCTGCCCTGTTTCTGTCATGTTCTTTAGGCATCTCTGGTGAACTTCCATCTGGGCCACCAAAGGATTTAAGTCCCATGTTGGGACATTCCTCATGTCTCACTGCAGGGTTAGTGATCCTGAGAGCGGTAGGTAGGAAGGCTGAGAAATGAGATGGACACAAACCTGATTAAAACAGAGTAGAAACAGAGCTTCAGCAATCAGTATCTCTCTAAAGGTGGATCACATCTAACTTAGGGAAAACTGGGTAGGTCCAAAATCAGGGAACCTAGGCCAGAGTAAAAGATCATCCATGCAAGCTCCTTGTTTTCCCGTAAAGCACATTGTACAAGTAGCCACATTGCTCAGCCGTGTCTGACTCTTTGGGACCCTATGGACTGTAGCCTGCCAGGCTCCTCTGTCCATGGAAATCTCCAGGCAAGAATACTGGAGTGGATACCCATTCTCTTCTCCAGGGGATCTTCCCTACCCAGGGATTGAACCCGGGTCTCCCCCACTGCAGGCAGATTCCTTACCATCAGAGACACCAGGGAGAGTAGCCACAGTACTATAGTGATTATTATACACATAAAAATTTAACTTCTGAGTTAGTCTAGGAGAAAAAAGAAATGCCAAGTCACCAGATCACCAGATGGTCAATACCAAAATCAGACTGATTATATTCTTTGCAGCCTTAGAAAGAGAAGCTCTATACAGTCAGCAAACACAAGACTGGGAGCTGACTGTGGCTCAGGCCATGAACTCTTTATTGCAAAATTCAGACTTAAATTGAAGAAAGTAGCGAAAACCACTAGACCCCATTCACGTATGACCTAAATTAAATTCCTTACGATTATACAGTTCAGTTCAATTCTGCTCAGTTGTGTCCAACACTTTGTGACCCCATGGGCCATAGCACATCAGGTCTCCCTGTCCATCACCAACACCCAGAGCTTGCTCAAACTCATGTCCATTGAGTCAGTGATGCCATCCAACCATCTCATCCTCTGTCGTCCCCTTCTCCTCCTGCCTTCAATCTTTCCCAGCATCAGGGTTTTTTCCAATGAGTCAGGTCTTTGAATCAGGTGGCCAAAATATTGGAGTTCCAGCTTCAACATCAGTCCTTCCAATGAATATTCAGGACTGATTTCCTTTAGGATTGACTGGTTGGATCTCCTTGCAGTCCAAGGGACTCTCAAGAGTCTTCTCCAACACCACAGTTCAAAAGCATCAATTCTTCGGCACTCAGCATTCTTTATAGTCCAACTCTCACATCCTCTCACTACTGGAAAAACCATAGCTTTGACTAGACAGACCTTTGTTGGCAAAGTAATGTCTCTGCTTTTTAATACGTTGTCTAGGTTGGTCATAGCTTTTCTTCCGAGGAGCAAGCATTTTTAATTTCATGGCTGCAGTCAACATCTGCAGTGATTTTGGAGTCCCCAAAAATAAAGTCTCTTACTGTTTCCACTGTTTTCCACTATTATACAGTGGAAGTGACAAATAGATTCAAACGATTAGATCTGATAGACAGAGTGCCTGAGAACTTTGGACAGAAGTTCATGACGTTGTATAGGAGGCAGTGATAAAGACCATCCCCAAGAAAAAGAAATACAAAAAGGCAAAATGGTTGTCCGAGGGGGCCTTACAAATAACTGAGAAAAGAAGAGAAACTAAAGGCAAAGGAGATAAGGAAAGATATACCCATTTGAATGCAGAGTTTCAAAGAAAAGCAAGGAGAGATAAGAAAGCATTCCTCAGTGATCAGTGCAAAGAAAGAGTGAAACAATAGAATGGGAAAGACTAGAGATCTCTTCAAGAAAATCAGAGATACCAAGGGAACATTTCATACAAAAATGGGCACAATAAAGGACAGAAATGGTATGGACCTCTAAGTGGACCAACAATTAGAACCAGACATTTCTGCTCCCTGGAAGAAAAGCTATGACCAACCTAGACAGCATGTTAAAAAGCAGAGACATTACTTTGCCAAGAAAGGTCTGTCTAGTCAAACCTATGTTTTCTCCAGTAGTCATTTGTGGATGTGAGAGCTGGACTATAAAGAAAGCTGAGTGCCAAATTGATGCTTTTGAACTGTGGTGTTGGGGAAGACTCTTGAGAGTCCCTTGGACTGCAAGAAGATCCAACCAGTCAATCCTAAAGGAAATCAGTCCTGAATATTCATTGGAAGGACTGATGTTGAAGCTGGAACTCCAATACTTTGGCCACCTCATGCAAAGAGCTGACTCACTGGAAAAGACCCTGATATTGGGAAAGATCAAAGGCAGGAGGAGAAGGGGACGACAGAGGATGAGATGGTTGAATGGCATCACCAACTCGATGGACATGAGTTGAGCAAGCTCTGGGAGTTGGTGATGGACAGGGAGGCCTGGTGTGTTGCAGTCCATGGGGTCGCAGAGTCGGACACAACTGAGCGACTTAACTGAACTGACTGACCCACATGTATCCCGGTATGAAAATCTTTCTGCCTTTAAGATGATTGTGAGATTGAGATCCTAGTCAGAAATGAAGGTGAAGAAGGGGATTTGAAAGTGTTGCTTGCCTGCAGGGCTTGCTCCATTTGTTTTAAGGCTAAGCATGTATAGCATTAATAAAATTAAAAATGTGTCCTCAAATCATCTTCTGCTCTCCTGAAACACATTATGAATCAATTTAATGATGCCTATATCTAAAATATATCTAGAGAAGCACATCTTTTAAATCATGTGATATGAATGTAAGTTTCCAGTAGGTGACTACAACCCAGCTCAATCTATTTCCATGCCTTTGGGAAGGAGATGGAATTTTCAGAGTATCTGCAAAAATGTTTTCTCTCTAGAAGCAGAGCATTTGCTGCTACAGGATGAGACAGCACTGGCAAGAACATGAAACTCATGCATTTATTAAAAATGAGCACAAATTGACATTAAAAGAACTGCTGTCAAGATATAGCACAGCCTTATAACTTGCTCTTAATGGGGAAGGATGTAAATACTTCCCTGGGACATTTTTGTTTGATTGTGACAAGTGC